GGGAAACATGTTACTTGAGGTGAAGAGGAGTGGTTAGCGGTAACGTTCTATAAAACGTATGTAGAAATAAAGGAAAATTTATGGAAGAGGTGGGTGAAGGAATTTCAGAGGGATAAAAAGCAACTTACGTTACAGGATTATAATTAGAACTTGTATACGAGGGGAGGGGAGGTAATGATGGAAAGTGTTGCTGGGGTAGGAATCATAGGTGAAAACAGGGTCGCCCTCCCTGGTAATGGATGACAACAAATTTGCGTGAGTGTTGATGAGTGATGCGTGAGTGAATAATATGTGACCACGGGTGCTAGCACCTGTGAGCTGGCCAGTTTTTTGGTGGGTGGACTGGACTTACACTTATTATACTAATTGTGTGTGGTATATTATTTACGGTATGACATTGTAATTTGGAGATTTGCTATAATAATTGCATGTATTTGCTCCAACTTGTTTTCTAGTGCCTTGCAAACTTGCATAGTGTTGAGCTGTGGAATCATGCCGGTTCCAGAGAGATGCTGTGATATGTTTGTATAAATGTCTGTGCAATATTGTTCTTCACTGGTGATCTGCAATTTAAGTTTTGTTTTTGAGAGCAAAGAGTTTAAATATGTACTCAGATAGTGTAAATAAAGTTGGCAACATGGTGTAATAGTTTTTGTGGTTAGGTGCTGCTAGGCACAGTCCCCCCTTTATGTGTTACTTATGTCATTTATATTTTATGTTGTATTGTACTGTTGTCAATATGCACTATGTTATGTCCATAAAAGACGTATAGAGCTTGAATGTCATAGTTGAAGGCTGTGTTTTGTTTTTAACACTGGAATTGCAGTGTTTAAATATTTAGAAGCTTGCATGGGTGGATTTTTAGACTAAGTTTAACCTATGACTATTGTAGTAATTTGTATGTCTTTGTGACTTTTCTATATCACCATTGTTGTTTAATACATATTTTATGTAACTGAACCATTAGGACAATTACAAAATTAATGTTTTGATCATTGCTGTGTGACATTAGATAGGCAACATTTCATTGGTTTATAGTATGTAAGGTTGTAAATAGTGGGGTGGTGGATAAACCACGGGGGGGGGGTAATATTCCCGGTATAATTATGTCTCAGTCGCAATGAATTGCATGGTCTGTAGTCGATTATTAAGTATCCATTTCGAGGGATGTGTATATAACAAGTGTTGTTCAAATCATGTAATTCTGTGAGTAGCTCCAACATGGTTAGGGTTAGAGGATAGATAGGGAGCAGGGAGGGGGGGTGTAACCCTCACGGAGTTGAAGTGTGGATTTAAGTTACCTGTAGTAGGATTGTCTTGAATTATTATAGCCCCTTAAATGAGTTTTATATAATATATTTTTGTAATGTCATGTTTTTAAAATAAATAAAAAAAAAAAGAGGTTAAAATTAGTGGGTCAGTAGTTCTGAACCTCGATTATTGCTGACTTTAAGCATAACAAAAACTCAGCTGTTTTAGCAGTACAGTGTTTTTTAAACACTCTAAGTGTGGTGCTGAGAATTTTCGCATATACCAAACAAAATGGCTTGTTTGAAAAACTCCAGTTTCAGTCATACCCCCCCCGGCGGGATTGAACCACGCGGTCAAAGAGTCTCAAAACTCCAGCCCTTCGCTTAGCCACTAGAGGACCAGCTACCCTGTCTAGTGCTAACGCGACCGGCTGAGTTTTGCGAGACCTTTGACCGCGATATCCAACCCAGCATCCAGCCGGTGTAAGGTTTTGTTTGCAAATCGAGTCATAACGATTTCTTGAGTCAGTTTCAGTCTTTTACAGACTTAAGATTACACAATTAGAAAATCTAATTCAGTTAGTATCGGATTAACTCAAGATTACAAACATAGATTTTTGATGATCTTGAGGTCAAATTTGAATTACTTACAGTGTGGAGGTGATATACAACGTTTGACAAATAATTAATTTCAACTATACACATTATGAAAAGGAAATGTCTTGAACAGATCCGTCCTGAGGATTGAAATTAAAATTGTTTTGGGATATCCGTTTAGTTAATCATCAATTAAGGTGGACAGGAGTACAGGCTATTGCCGCAAAACTCTGTCACAGAGACCTACTCTAACTAGTGGTCAAACACCTGTTACACCTGTAACACAACAAGTGGTCCCATTACCAAGACTTACCTACATTGTCATGAACCTATTTTCCAAGGTCATCATTATGAAGAATTCATTATGTTTTCAATCCAAAGTAAATTCACAACTGACTTAGATGAGATTGCTAATTCAATTACCTTAAATGTCTGTGAAGGAGAACCCTATGAACTGATTAAGTCATTTCCCCCGGTGGTTTAAAGGCAATTAATCAAATAGCCTTACGTTCTTAGCAGACAATTACTTATTTTGATGATGACAAGGCCAGAGTTAGACATGCAGTCTTAATATCAAGCTTGAAAGCCACCCAAACATTTTTTTTCAGACTTGCAGGTCAATTTAGAATCACATTAGAACAATAGTCTCCCCAGATCTCTAGGTGCTAAATAGACCTAAGGCAATGTGATTGGTGTATCAGAGGTTATTGTACAAGGTAAGTTGTCACCACAAACAATTGATCGATTAAATACTATGTTCAATAAACGCTATTTTACTTTTGAAGAAATAGCAAAGGTTTACAAGACAATAGTTTTCATGCATCAAGCAATCGAGACAAATGAAAAATTCACGAAATCCCGTGGATAACAAATCATCCAACTCAGTATAAAAGGAGTAAACTACCCCATCTTAAACCACAGAATGGGAAATCCCATATAGGCATTTATCAAGTTGTGATACAACAGACAGTAAACAGAACTGTCAACACATAACTACTCCAAAATGTGTACTTTGATGGAACACATTGGCACGGTAATTGTATTCAATACACACACAATGGAGGCAACGAAAACAACGTGTTCATCAGCTGAAAAGGTGCATCACGTTTTTTTAGTGTGAACACAAGGGAGTAAATGCTCACTGAAGAATGTTTTAAAATGCAAGGGTGTGCATCATACAGAATTATGCCCAAATACTTTTGCTGAACTGCAGCAGACGTTCCAACAGAATCATGGAAGTCAACACGCAACAGCATTAAATGTGAGAGATAAGTTTAATTAAAAGCAACTGCTCTCGCCGATAGCTCGAGTTGAGTTTCTAATAAATTACACAAAACCAATGTGCTAACACTATTTTGAAGCAATGCTCACAAAGTCCTTCATAAGAAGAACAGTGTTGCAGAAACAGAATAAACAACCCTTATGCCAAAATACATTAGATATAGCTGTTTTTTTCCACAAATCTGGGTAAACAGACATATGACCTAGCCAGATCACTGTTTGTCTAGAACAGGAAAAAGACCAGTAGAACTGTGGTAGTAGAAGATGTTTACGAGCACTAAGTCTGTGCAGATCCAGGGATTAAAAGAAAACAGTTGCATCACTGAAAGCAGCTAAGGTCAAGTTAGCCGTCCTGACATAACAGATGGACACAATTAGTCCAATTGATTTAATCATTGAGTGATTATTAACACTATTTTGTGCAAAAAATAGTAATTAAACAATGATGTTCCACTTCTGATAAACAGCAGGAGGGCCACATGAATGTGGTCCCATCCCCTCAAAGTGGAAAGAAGTCTGATATGATTCAGAGGAAAATGAACAATTTACGAAATAACCACTGATCCAGTACCACAGCAAATTATCATTACTGGAAGAAATGAATGAACCATTGAAAAAGTTGTGGATATAGATGCAATAGGTATTAGATGAAATAAACCAAGCCCACAACAGTCCTCAGACTTATAACCAATATTTGGACACTGTCAAAATATAAAGATGGACGTATTGGTTAGATTATCATGGAAATTAAATCCACCACAATCTCCTAGCAATTACGCATGCTCTTCGACAGATGAAAGCACAATTATATGAGCCAGGAAGACTCCAGAGCAACTGACCTGTTATGATAATACTTACAAGAACAGTTGGACAAAATTCATTGAGGAAATAAGTCGAAGATAAGTAAGACAGAAGCACATATGATGGTTCCCGCATCTTCGCCGCACCATGGGTCAGAAAAGAATCTGAAACCACTCCCCTACGTGTTGTAATATAATTGCAGCGCACGTGCAAATAAAGATGAAGCAAGGTCTAAATGACCTGTCGATGACCGGACCCTCACTAACTAGAAAAGCGTGGAGACGTGCATATGAAATTTCGCACAAACCCATACCTACACGGCTGATATTTTTCAAAGCTTTCTTAAGAGTAGGACTACAAGAAATAGATAGAATTATACTCGATACTTGTGGCCTGAAAATCCACATGATCCTCAAAGTCCTGTGAAAACTTATCTTTTTCAAATCCGTATTATTTGTGCAACATCCTCTCCATTCTTACTAGAAAGCTACTCAAATACACATTTGAAGAAATCTTGAAAGCCCTTCAAAGAAATCTTAAAGAAAAGTTTCCTATGTGACAATCTTCACGGTACTGTGAATAAAGAGGAGGATTTGAAATCCTTAAACAGAGAAGCTAACAAGGGAGATGAAAGAAAGCAAATATGCCTCTAAGGATGTGGAAACTATTCATACGCAATAAGGACTTACAAAGTGAAGATTTTCCCTGAAGCTGAAAATTCCAGCGAGCCTGAAGGGCTAATATAGCTAAGTAATTTATAGGGTGGTGTGCTAGTAGCCCTGGGTGATAGGTGGGAGAAAAGTGAAGAAGAAGACGTAGTCTCGTGCTGATTATGACTGGTAGTAGAGTCACTTATGGACGCTGACACACGACCATTACCTACCATACTTCCCTAATATACCTAATTTACATTACCTGGACGTTTTTCCTTACAAACATCGGACTTGATAATCGTCTACGAGGGAACGAAACATGGTCTAAATTATCCTCTCCAGATTGTGGGAATCATACGAGTTGTTCAAGCCATGGCATTGTGATTTTAATACATCTTAAACAGTCCTTATCTTGCAGCCAGTGGTTCCATCCTGAGGGCATCCACCCGCTAATACTGTTCTTCACTAAGGAGAAGTGGGAGGCAGATCTACTGAAGCAGGCAGACCCACTCTTCAAGTATTACATTCTCTCTGCCCTCCTCATATTCACCTCAGTCTTCATCATACAGGAGGCTCTCATGCCCGGGTAAGTGTTTCCTACTGTATTATTTGGTCCACACTTTTGTTCTTCATAGTTCCTATACTCCTGGCTCAGTGATAGAGAGTTCGGTTCACAACTAAGAAAGACCGGACTAGTCTCCTTACATCTGCTGCCTTTATCTACCTAGCAGTAAATGCCTAAGAGTTTGTCGGCTGTTGTGAGTAGCATCTTAAAAGTGAGAACCTAAGGAGCCCAACTGAACTATTCAATATTACATGGTTTTCTCGGGAAAAAAATCATCTTTCATTCGAAGAAGTCCCGGAAAGTAACGAAACAGCGCTGATCTAAGTCATTCATAATAATTTAAATTACAGTTTGTAGGATACTTTTAGCTCTGAATTTTTCCATTTATGCACGTCCCTGTAGGTTGTATTTCATAAAGCCGTAAATCCGCATAGGATTGTCATTGCAATCATATAATTAATCTAATGTGTAATTATCTGTATTATGAATATCTAATGTTTATAAAGTTGTAGGAATGTGTTTAGGCCACAGCACATCTTGTGTTAAGGTGGATCTTGTGTGACGATGTGTTAGGGATGTATTTAGTGTTATTGTGTATGTGTTTCAGTTGTCTGTTGGAGAGGTGGTGGAGTTTCATTATATGTAATCATTAATATTGTCATGTTTTAGATATGTTCGACATACCTATTATGTATACAAAGTTTTAAGATAATAAATTAAAATCCGTATAGGCTATTTAGTGGAAGGAGTGTTGGAGGTTCCATCCACCGAAGTTAATTGCGACCCGATCACTGACCAATTTTTCTGTTAGTAATTCGCCTGCGTATGCTCGCCTGCAGGAATACTTTGGGTTGGCGGTGTGGAGTGGTGTGCGTGGCCTCCCTGGCAATAGTGGTTTCGCTAGCTTGGGTCTCCACTATACACCAGCACCACGTCGACCCCCACAACGACTCAGAGTGTGAGACCAACGAGAGATACGCCATCACCAACTTCTTCTACGACACCTACATGACCATAGTTACCTCCATAGGAGTGAGGATTATGCTCTTCCTGTTTATTTGTAGCTTACTCTACATCTGCGCTCTCATTAACCTGGTAAGTGATGATAAATTAAATTTAACTCACTGCTACAGCATTTGCATAACAACTTGTCCAGTTTCCTCTTGAGGTCGTCTACACTTGTTCCAGCCGTGTTTCTGATATCTTCTGGTAAGATGTTGAATAGTCTGGAACCCTTAATTGTCCCCAACGCACCCCTGCTCCTCGCTGGGTTTATTTTACACTTCCTCCCATATCTCTCACTCAAGTATGTTGTTATGGCAGTGTGCATATTTGGAACCAGGCCCTCGAGTACTTTCCAGGTATATATTATCATGTATTTCTCTCTCTTCCACTCCAATGAGTACATGTTCAAGACTTGAAGGCGTTCCCAGTAATTTAGGTGCTTTACTGGCTCAATGTGAACCGTAAATGATCTCTGTATTTGTTCCAGCTCTGATATTTCTCCTGCTTTGAACGGGGCCGTCGGCACTGAGCAATATTCTAAATGAGGGAGCACTAGCGATTTGAAGAGTGTCACCATCGGCATTATTTCCCTTGTTTTGAAAGTTCTCAATACCCACCCCGTCATCTGCCTGGCTGTCGTGATATTTGTCTTGTTATGGTCTTTAAAAGAAAGGTCCGCTGACATAATTATTCCCAGGTATTTTACGTGTTCCTTTCGTTCTATTTGGTGACCCTCTTGAGTTTTGTATACAGTGTTCCTTTTGAGTTCTTCGTTCTTTCCATACCTAAGCAGCTGGAACTTATCACCATTGAACGTCATGTTGTTCTCCACTGCCCACTGGAAAACTCTGCTTATGTCTTCCTGTAATTTTTCACTGTCCTCTACCGTAGTGACTTTCATGCTTGTTTTATTGTCATCTGCAAATGATGATACAAAAGTGTGACGGGTGTTTTTATCTATATCTGCTATGAGGATGAGAAAGCAGAGGTGCCAGGACAGTGCCTTGGTGTACTGAGCTTTTGACCTCGCTGATGCTGGATCTTGCTCTGTTCACTACTACTTTTTGTGTTCTGTGTGTTAGGAACCCGAAAATCCATCTGCCTACCTTCCCCGTAAATCCCAGGGCCCTCATTTTGTGCGCAATCACTCCAAACGCCTTTGCAAAATCCGTGTAAATCACATCTGTGTTTTGATCGTCTTCTAATGCCTCCGTAATTCTGTCATAATGGTTCAGCTGAAATTTTCAGTTGAAATTTTCTCCTGGACGGGTCAGTTAAGTTCACCTGTAATGCCACACACGCCTCCACCATCGAAACAATACTCCACGTCCTTAAAGATCCTGGAACAAATACCATACTTCTGTTTACATTAGAACATAAGAAAGAAGGAACACTGCAGCAGGCCTACTGGCCTATACGAGACAGGTCCAAGTCTCCTACCGGTGAGATATCTCTCAGTAATGAAATTCAACTCTCTCCAAAACGGAACAATACTTTAACAAGCCTTCCACCAATAAATTACTGTGCAGATCGTTCCAGTGGCTACCTTCTCGACCTTTCCTGCCTCTGTTGCCACCGCCCTCGACACCCCTCCCAGTGAGCCAAGTACCGGAGTCTCTCATCCCTCTCCATCAATGTCTGCAGTACATCTGTACAATTTGCTCCAAAGTGGTTGGGCCACTTGCCTTTCTAACCCTTCTCTCCTCCTCCCTCCCATCCTTTTCCAGTATTTCTATCCTTCCCCATCCCGCTTCCTTCCCCCATCTTACCGCAGCTATGGTCATGTAAATCGAAGATTCAGCAGCTGTGACAGGCATGATCGTCCTGCTCTAAAATCATGCTGGTTATGCTGGTTCATGAAATTTGTAATTTGCCGTCTCATCACTCTTTTGAAGATTTTTATGATGTGAGAAGTTAGAGCTGCTGGTCTGTAATTTTTAGCTAGTGCTCTACTACCTCTCTCATGCAAAGGAGCTATGTCTGAGGGCTCGTGTTAGTGGTACTTTGCACTTCTTTATAAATAGAGTATTCTATGAGTCTGGTCCAGGTGCTGAGTGAATGGGTATTTTCTCCATTTCTTTTTCGAAATCTATGGGATTTGTACTAATGTCAGTTAGGTGGTCTGCGCGACCTTCTGCTGAAGTGAAAAATGTTTCTGCATTTTATACCTTGCTGTCATTTACTGGGTTGCTGAACACCGACTCATACTGTTCTTTTAGGATTTCATTCATTTCCTGTTCATCGTCAGTATATGAATCTCCGCTCAATAATGATCCAATTATACAGGTAGTTCATAGCTTGGATTTTGCATAAGAATAGAAATATTTTGGGTTTCTTGCAATATCCTGTATGACCCTTTGTTCCCTTTGTACTTCTTCTGTGAGGTATGACATCCTAAGTTTATGCTCTAATTCAGCGATCTTTCGGCTTAGACTATCTTTCCTCTGTTGCAGCATATCTGTTCTTTTAGGCAATTCAATAACCCGTTTTCTTCTTCTGTACCATCTCCTACGCTCTCTATATCTGATCTTCTGGGTTTCCTCGGTAGTACGTGCTTCATACATACTTTGTATACTTCTATATTCAGCTTCTCTAGGCACTGGTGGGATTTAGGTCGCTCATGTCTGATTCCCAGGATATGTCTGGTAGCTCTTGGTTTATTTTTCCCAGTCAATTCTATAGTTGTTAAAATTAAACTTACTGAACATCCCGTCTCTAACATTAGTGACGCAGTTCCCTAACCCTGGGTTAATACTTGTTTGAACTTCTATGATGTTGCGATCAGAGTATATTGTTTTTGTAACTGTTATGTCTCTGATTAGCTCATTGTTGTTTGTGAATATCAAATCCAAAGTATTTTCATTTCTAGTGGGATCAATTATGTGTTGGTTTAATGAGTACTTCTCACAAAGCGTCATAAGTTCCCTGGTATGTACATGTTGAGTCAGGGTGCTTCCCGCAGATATTTCTGGCATAACATTACGTTGAACAATGTTATACTAACGAAAGTGGTTTGCGATTTTCTAGCCTATCCAGATATCTGTCTATCTTCCTTAACTGATCTGTGAATTCCTCAGCAGCTGCTAATGGTGGTTTATATACTAGGATATTTACCAAGTTCCTATTTTCAACTTTAATGCCTGGGATTTCTACTATATCATTCGTAGAATTCAGCACTTCTGTGCAACAGTATCTTTTACATAAGTCCTACTCCTCTCTGTGATTTATTAATTCTATCACATCTATACATGTTATACATGTTATAGTTTTCTATCTTTATCTCTCTGTCCAAAACATCCCTCGTGAGTGTTTCTGTAAATGCTTCAAACATGGCATTCGCTTCTGTTAGGAGCCCACTGACATAACTAACTTTGTCATTTTTATTTAAATTCAAACTCTGATTATTTGCAAATATAAAGCAGGAAATACTATTTGGGATGCTTTGTTTTGCTGTGTGTTTGGTTAGTACCACTGGTGATGTACTACCTGGTATGTCCCCTGGTGTACATACCCCTGGTTTCTCCAGGACTGACTTTGCATTTGATTGTGTATTAGGGCTGATGCCTGGTTTGGTATGTCCCATTGTGCTGCCCATCTGTCCCCTCTGTACCATTCCCCCTTTTTCTCTCTTTCTTTGGTCCGATCGTTTCTGTTTATGTCTAAAAAAGATTGCTGTTCATTTTCCCTTTCTCTGCTTTCTCTGTAGCTCCGCGTCCCTTAACATGATGGTCAGGGCAGCTGAGGTCACAACATTCTCTGAACTGTGTTGAAGCTTTGCACATCACTGGGTGGAAGTATCTGCTGCAATCTTTGTCAAAGCAACATTTTCCCTTTCTTAACATGTTGGCACATTTTCTGTTGTATTTATTCCAGCAAACTCTGCCATATAGGCACATACCTTTTGCAGAGTATCTGCAAATGTTCTGACTGCCTATATTTACTGATTTTGTGTTTCCCAAGTTCTGCCACTTGATCTGAATTCTCTTGTTTTCTTTCATCTAGGCGTATTTCTTCCTTTTTTTTTTACATTTTCGTTTGTACCTGCTCTAGCTTTTCCTTCCTCCCTTTCCCTTTTCTCTATGTTATGTACCCATGTTTTGTTCTTTTCTAACTTGCTCTGAATGACGTTCTCCACTCTTATTTCCACTCCTGAAACTGAAGATAATAAGACAGTAATGGCATGGGAGAGGGACCCAGAAAGAATAATAATGAGATTATGCATAAAGTCTCACAAAAACTATGAATAACAGTAAGTCAAAACGATTGTAAATGAAGATTTTGATAAATTGAGCAGATAAAGTAACATTTGAGTGATGGGATTAAAAATATTTATAAATTTCATGTAAAGAAAAATTGTGAAATGGAAATTAGACCTGTTGAAAAATATATATTTTGATGATTCATTCTGAGAATGTATCATAATCCACGGTACGAGCGGGGATTGAACTCGCGGTGAGTGAGTCGTAAAACTCCAGACCAACGCGTTAGCCACTGGATCAGCTGTCTGCAATAAAATTCATCCAACTAGGTATATTTATGCACCATAGGAAGGTTAACATGGGCACCACTGTGACCACAGATGGCTAACGCGTCGGTCTGGAGTTTTAACGACTCACTCACCGCGAGTTCAATCTCCACCCGTTCCGTGGTTTGTTTACAGTCGTGTCATTACGATACCACAGATGGCTAACGCGTCGGTCTGGAGTTTAACGACTCACTCACCGCGAGTTCAATCTCCACCCGTTCCGTGGTTTGTTTACAGTCGTGTCATTACGATACCTTGAGTAATATCTCATATAATATATTCAGTGGTGATAATTTAAAGAGCATCCAATAATTGTTGAGGTGATAATTGTTGTGGTGATAATTCCAAGATTGTCAAATGTAGACAAGGATGTTTGGGAATTAATAAAGAAGTTGCCACCAAACTAACTTCATGGGGAGTAAAGCAGTCATGAAGACATGGAATAAACCATTCCATGAGGTGCCTTGATGTTGGTGAAGGCTCTTAATCCAAGGAATAAGATACAAACTTCCTTTGCTGTAGTGCTCACATTTTATGACAAGACCAGTTCGTGTAAAAGAAGTTTTCTTGGAAACATCGCTGTGCTCCTTTGTAGGGTTTTTTCAAGGTGGATTTGTACGGGCTT